CCTATTCTAGCCCCTTAGCTTGCTTATTTCTAGCACTTTCCTAGGACTCCTGACTCTCCTTCAACTACTGAAATCTGAGATCAGGAAGGGTGATAGGCCCTCACAGCTCAGGATAGAGGAGTGCTTTCCATACCCGAGTCTATCTTTCCCTCTTCCTTCTGAACCACTTCTGGGTGCTGCATTACAAAAATGGATCTGAACTCTTAGATCACAGGAGCCACCAAGAGCATGTGCTTTCCAGAAGTCTTATGTTAGTGTTCTCTACTTCCAGGAATAATTTTTGAGAGTTACAAGTAGTTAATATTTCCTGATAAGAAAGCATATGTTCTCCAATTTGCAACATTTATAATATAATAAAAATCCTCCCATTTCTAAATCCTTAATCCACAGAGGAGTTTAATCCTCAAGGCATTCCAGTGTTAGCTTTTTTCAGGAACACTTGCAGTGTAATTGAACCTGATTATTCAAACTACAGGTGATCTGTTTCCTATTTCTAAACTTAAGGGAGAAAAAAATTGAACCACAACTTACAAACTAATTCTAGGCCCTTTATAAATAGGAGAGATTTTGTTTCCAAGCAGGACAGCTCAGAGAAGCCCCAAAAACTGGTGAACCAAGGAGTAGAGTGTTCCTACCCTGAGGCTCTGACAGGAAGTTCTCTGGGTTAGCCCCTCAGTCTATATCCTCAACACAAGCCCTGGAGGAAGTGTTATTATCTCCAGCAGACACAATAAAACCACAGACTCAGGAATGACAGGCTTTGCCAAGATTGCATGACCCACATTTGGGGGAGTTGAGCTCAATTCAAGTCTAGTCGTATGAGTCAAAACAACCCTCCGGACCCACATACAGCCCTCCAGACCAAGCAGCAATGACCTTTTTCCTTGAGCCTTCACCAAAATGGGAGATGATCACCTTTTAAAAATAATTAGTGTAAACTGAATGTTCAACAACAAATCTGTAAAGATCACAGTTGCTTTCATTTGTGGAAAATCCTTAAAATCCTGGAACAGCTATTGTGCAAGAGCAGCGTGACTCTGCGCTACTCTCAGCAACGGTGTTGTCACCTGCGTCATTAAGTTGCCACCCATTCACTGAGTTGTTGGCAAGATTAAGGGAAAGGACATAGATGTAACATCTTTATCACTTCGTAGGTGCTTGGTAGCTGTTATGGCCTCTTATTTCCTGCAATAAATGTTATTGAATAACAGATAACTTAATAATAATGTGTCTAGTGAACATATCCTTGTGTTTGGTATAAATCAACTCCGCACTGAATCCCCAACCCAAACCCCTGAGTTAAATAAGTGGGCACAGCTTCTAAGCGGTGGGAACAGAGGCTTAGGGAGGGTGAGGGAGCTGCCCAGATTACACAGGAAGTGGTAGGGGACTGGGATTTGAATCCACACAAGCTTAAGGTAGAGGCCATGTTTTATTTTATCCATCATGCCATCTCACCCTCCAGGAAATGGGTACGGATAGATATTCCATGTCGTAAAGGCTGAGTTGGATAGCTTGCCTTTTTTTCTCTTACTCCCCATACCAACTCCATCTTGGAAAATAAATGATGTTTGTGTGAGCTTCCCACTGTCTCAAGGACACTGTGCTTGGTAAAGCTGTGTCAATTTCTCTTACTATATGGTTGCAATTTTGCCGGCTCTTCATAAACCCTCAAAAGCCAGTCTCATGAGGTCACCAATGCCAGTGGCAGATGTGGTGTCCTGAAGCCCTTTTGGACCTGATTTCTTCACAGAGAAATGCTTGTCCCCAGTGGGGGATGGGAAAGAGGGAGTGAAATCTGCTGAACTGAGTCTCCGCTGACTTTTCCTTCACTATGTATTTGCTTCTTAATTTGTACTTCTTCTGAAAAGAAGATGAGGCAGAATTTCCCATCAAAAAGAGTCACCAAAACATCTAAATGGAGAAAAAGTTGCCAGAAGCCTCCACAGAATAAAGGGGACCAGTGTGGCGAAGGGTTTGGGCTTCTCCAGTGGAAGCAGCTTCCAGAAAGAAGTTCTGAGGAGGACCCCTGACACACGAGCAGGAGGAGGGGAGCTCCAAGCACTGGCACTCTGGGGTTTACCCCAAGGCCTCCCCAAAACCACTCTCTCCACTTTTTTTTAATATAATTTCTCCACTTTTTTATTTTCATTCCTAAAGAAAGGGAGGGCCCAGGGAGAGAAAAGGAAGGAAATGAGGGCTCCTCTTTGAGGCCTTTTCTTATTATTGGAAAGCAGACCCCCATCGTCAATTCTACATCAACTGCGCCACTGAGAACAGAGAAGCTGGCATGTTATACCCTGCTTTGGGATGGTGGCTCCGCATATCTGAAAGCAGGGCTAGACAGAAGCTGCAAACAAGCTATGGGTTCTGTAGCTCAAGGCTGTCTGGGCAGCAATTAAGGAGATGTGTCAGTCTCTTAGACCCCTCCCCCAGGTAGTTCCAGCTAGAAAATACTTCCAGCACTCTGGATCAAAAATACTTGTGTTGGTCCTTATTTTTAAGAGTAACCAGTCACCAGGGGAAGAAAACCAATGGATCATTTTCCACAGGAGATCCTATAGGATTTATACACACTTTCTGTCACTCTCTGGGAAGCGTCACTCTATGCCAAGCACTGGGCAGCATGAAGGGGATTCAGAGGAATGAAACCGTCACTCGGTGCCATAGTCTAAAATACTGGATGCTTTGCGAGCACAAAGGAGGGTTTCTACCCCCACTGAAGTAATCCTGAAAGACTCCATAGAGACAGTGACAAGACAGACACGATGGAAAGGGAGCTACAGGCAGGGAAAACAGCAATAATCAAATGCACTACAGCATGAAACATTTTGTGTCTTGGACACACAAGGCTGGCCATGTGTGGCTGCTTCTGGCAGCACTATGACTTTCAGATTCACTCGACAAGAAGTTCTCCTGTCTTCCAGTGGCGTGTCCTTCAGATTGAACCAGAGCACTCTGGACCATGAGCTATAGCAGCTCAATAATGGCATCCTTTGGGAGGTGACAGGCTAGTGCAGACACAGTTTCTGGTGTTAGAAAGGAGACATATCCCTGGGTATATTCTCTTTGACTTATAGTCATGCTCCACTAAAAATCTTACCAGACAAATTCCCTGATAACAAACCTCACACTGTGGTGTCAATCTCTTTGGGAGCTCTGGGAAAAACAAAACAAGCAAACAAACCAAAACTCTTATAGCATGATTTTAATTCAGAGTTAAAATCCAATAACATGGTTATCGCAAACAAGGGAGGGCTGTAGTACAGGGAACATTGCCCCTTGTGAACCAAACATCTCCCCTCCTTTCCCAGAACAATGTTGATGGTGGTTCTATTGTCAGCCATGCACATGACACATGTCACACTTGATCCTCCCTCCACTCTGGAAGGTCAAGGCTATGGCCACCCACTGTACCGCTGAAGTGTCTGGGACTTAGAGACCTTCATTAGTCTACCAAAACTTTCTAACCTAATAGTCACAGCAACTGCATGCTGCATCTGCTTCAAACATGCTTCTCAGAAGCTGCCCATGTGCATTTATCCTTGATATTCAAGCCCCAACTCAGAAAGGGGCTTCCTGAGTCTAAATGAACCCCTTTCTGTTACCAATGTTTCACTGATCCACTCACATAACACTGCATAGCCTATTCACTATCTATCTTACTTCCCCAGTTCCACAAGACAGGGATCTTTCCTGACATCTTTATTGCTGTATCCTTGGTACTCCAAGAAAGCTTTGTTCATAAAAACCTGGAATAAGTGGTTGCTCTATGAGCAGAGCCTTGTGGCTGACCACTAATCTCAACCTTCTCCACTTACTGGAATCAGGCAAGATGGCTACCAGTGGCTGGCTGCAGACTTGTGAGGCACCCCCTGGAGGTTGCAAACTGACTCACACTTGCAGGGCGCAAGTTTGTCCTTTGTGAAGACTAGTCATTCCATAGACGTTCATTTCTGCTTTAAAAGCATAGCATCTAGTAATTTTCTATGTGACAAACATTCGGGACTTACCAACTACAATGTCCATAGTTTCCATTCTTTGATAATTCAAATTCACTCCTCTAAATGCATGCCTGTTTAGAGTTGTACATGGGTGTGTGTGTTGGGAGGGATTCACACTGTTACCACAAGCCCTGCTGCAGGGCACAGGAGCTCTAACTCCCAGTTGCTGCTATTGCTTCTATCAGTTCCTGTGTACACTCATTCTTGGTATTTATTTTTATTGATTGCTTTGTTTTGTATGGTGCCATTTTGTTTGTGAATTTGTTCCTTTCCTGTGCTTTCTCATCTCCAAATTACTGCTCCACTGAAAAGCAGGGATACGACCATAGGTCTTACTTGAGTGGGTCACTGTCCTGGAGGTTTGGGAAAGAACCCTGACACCCCATTTCATGTCCTCACATCATCCTACCATGCTCTCATATTTCACAATAGGACATACGCGTTCTAAAATTCACCTTGCTGGGAAAATGGGGTGAGGAGCACAATACTCAAAAATATCACCAGCAACACATTAAAAAAGAAAAGAAAAAAAATAAGCTAGCACAGTTTCCCACAGCCTACATGACTAAGGGACACATAAGTACTACAATAAGCCAGAGTTGAGGAACACTGGAGTCTGAGCAAGTGGATGTGGGAGGGAGCACTGGAGTCTGAGCAAGTGGATGTGGGAGGGAGGCAGCTGGACAGTCATGCTGAGGGGGGGTGGGGGGCTCTGAATGGAATGGAAAGTGGAAGCGGCAGGTGTGAGAGCAAAAGAGTAGCAGTGGGTGTGTGATATGCATACGTGTGTTGTTTTTTGTTGTTGTTCCTTCCTACAGAGCTGGGCTCACTTAGTATTTCTCAGAAAGGAAATTTTGCATCAGCAAATGTGAAATTCCCCTTATTCACAAATTATTCCCTAATATATTATTTGTGTTAAAAAAATCACATTTTGAAAACAAAAATGATAGCAGAACTGGTTGCCTGATTTTCTTTAATCGTGTCCTTGTTTTTCAGACTGGACCAAGAGGATTGAGTATCAGCCTGGCTCAGGGAGTGTACCCCTGTTTCCCAGTATCCACCTGGAGACATGTGATGGGGCTGTGTCCTCCATCCAGATCACGACAGAACTGCAGACCAATTACATCGGGAAGGGCTGTGACCGAGAGACCTATTCTGAGAAATCCCTTCAGAAACTGTGTGGTAGGTTTGCCCCTGTTGGGATTTCTTAATTAACTGCATTTAAATAACATTACACAAATAGAACACGCTTGCTTGTCTTCTGAAAGAATCCGTCCCTTCTCCACTGTCTCAGAGTATGTAACTCTTGGTGGGACATTAACTTTGTTTGTTGTGGTTAAAGGAGCAGAAGGAGCAGAAGGTAAACCTGATCAAGTGTGTGACGGTGGTGTTACAAAGCCTCTCTTTTTTTATTGATAAAACAGGGTCTAAATGGAACACTGCATTTAAGACTACCTAGCACAGGGCCTAAGAAAACACAAGTCCCCTTCACCATGTTGGTTTGGAAAGAGGCATCTGAGCTGGGACCAGCGTGAAGGTGGCATAAGCCCTCTGGGAAACGTTGTTCAGTTCTCTGGGGACCAGCTATGTAGTTTGCATAGGCTAGTGTATAATGAAAATGTGGAAGCTTTGTTCAAAGGTTAAGACATTTAGGACAGAAATAGCAAATCATTAAACCAAGCTGGGGGCCCACAGCTAGCCTGGGGCGCTGTGGCACCCCTAAAGTGGTATGCCAAGAAGCTGGGCCTGTCTGCCTACATTGGAAAAGATGAGCTTGGGTGGGCTTGGAGGTGGGTGAGGCACAGGTGACCAGGTGCCCTGGAGAGAATCTTGCCATCAGCAGGCTGGGAGATAGTGCTGTGGAATGGAACAGCCTGGAAAGTCAGAAACCAGGCTGATGGCGAACACACAAAAGGAAAGTTAGCTTGAGCGAGGACCTACTATGGGGCTCCTACACTCGACATGTGCTGCTTGTTTTAATTCTCTCATTCACTGTGAGCATGGTATGCTTTATCCAATTTTAAAGACAGAAAATTTGAGACCCACAGAGAAAAAGAGGGTAAGGTTTAAAAAGAAGAGAGTAAAGAGTAACAGAATTTGAAAGTAGAGCTATCCACATGAGGAGGTTTTCAGCTCATGTTTGACACTGGCCAGGCCTTTGGAGCTGAAAAGAAAGTCTCTCAAGTGATCTATGGAATAAGAGGCCACTCGGTATGCTGGGAAGGCTCCCCTGTGCTCAGGAAACCAGACTGTTGAAATGTCAATGGGCCTCCTTCATCCCCATCTGTAGATGTTTCATTTCTTTCTTATTCAATCCAGGAATTTTCTAGAAGTCACATAGGAGACTCCAGCAGTGCTATGGGGCGGGGGCGGGGGAGAAGATTAGGAAAGAGCACATCAAGCTTTGAGCTAGTGGAAACTCCACAAGAAGTAGAGGACCCCTCCACACACTGTAGCCAGAAGCCCTTCCTGGTGACTCCCCACTACTGTCTTTGGGGCAGATTTTCCTCCCTCTACATTTCCACACACCTAACCATACACACATACACACAAAGCACACACAAACACAAACACACACATACACATGCACACTCCTTTGTACACACATGCCCAAAGAACTGAATGATGCACTCAGCACTGAATGTGGAATAAACCCTGCTTGTATGTCACCAGGTTCCATTTGTCCTGACTCTAGACTAAAAGGAAGGTCTGTGGGGACATGGGACCTCTCCAGAACAATGCAGTAGATAGGACAAAACTCCAGAACTTCAATATCTTAAATAGCTCTTTCAAAACTGGAGACCAGGGGCCCGTAATAGCCAGAAAACTGCCTTCAGTCCTCTCCTTCACTCTGTGTATGAAGTCATCTCAGGCGATATCTTACTTTGAATGAATATCCCATTTCACTCCCCACGCACCTGAATTATAAGTCAACTCGACCCCACGCCACTGCAGGTTACAGTCATTTCCTAAACTCCTCCAGGTTAGAGGGAAATGATGGAATGAGCTTGTTAAAGATCTGATGGGCCCAAGGGCACGCACTTGTAATGTGATTTTGAATGTTGCTGGGGAGAGATGGGAAGATACTGAGAGTGAGAAGGATTTTCTGAGGGAAGAAACTTTAGAGCAAAATTGCCTCTGGTGTTAACACAGCTAAATCCTCTGGGCTGTCAGCTTCTCCTTGCAAAGGAGGCAGGTTAATTCAGTCAGGAAAGCGGTTCTCCCAAGCTTCAAGCTTATGTGGTGCTGGGAGACCTTGGTAGAGAGAGGTTAGTGTGTCTTTCTGGCGACCTTCCCAGAAGTGCCACCCACCACATTTATGGGAAATGCATACAGAAACCTTGACAGGCTGGGCTTACATGTGAGGAGCTAGAACCTTGAATTCTGCTGGGGGTTGCTCAGAGAAAAGAGCAAAAGCAAACAAATGAGGCCCAGGTGCGAATCTTGAGGTCACTTGCTTCAGAGAGGCTGCTCAGGGGGGCCCTGTTCTCCCTACAAACTGCACATCTGGTTCATTTCTAAACAAAGTCTGGATTGAAGGTCCCGCCTCCTTTCAGGCACCTTAGTTTCTGGAGCTAAGCTTCTGCGTGTTTTCATGGAAGGTAGAAAAGTCATTTGCTGGGCTTCTCAACTAAGCAAGCCCCTTGACACTTTAAGCCTCTGCTTTCCTGCATTTTTCATGATATAAATTTTTATTGGCTTTGGACCGGAACAGAGAGACCAATTAGGCTGTTATTGCCATAGACTAAGCAGAAGATAAGGAGTTCTGAATCTGGGGAGTGGCAGGAGGAATGAAGTAACGACAGTGTTCGAAGGCAAATTCCACAAGATTCCATGACTGGTGAGCTGTTAGGAGTGAGAATGGATCTAGGATGACTGTGTGGTGCGGATCTAACTGTACGAGCTGTCAACCAACCAGACCCGGGAATCCAGGGCAAGAGCAGGTTTAGGCAGACAGTGTCTCGTGAACACCCAGGTGTGGGTACTCAACCGTGGCCTGCCTTTCTGCCCGAAGAACTTGCCTCCACCATCCATCCATCCATCCCCAGAATCCACTTCTTCCTGATGTTCTGCCCCTTCTTAGTCAGAACACTCCATTTGGTCCCCAGAACTGCAGACTTGCTCTCACCCCTGAGCCATGTTCATGTTTTGTTTGTTCTACGAGAATAGTCTCTCTCCCCTTCAGCATTCCAAGCTCTTCAGTTAACTCTCCTGCCCTCTCTGCTCAACTAGGAGCAGTCCTGGGTGCCTCATGGGTGCCTTTGAGTTCTGGCATCTTTTCCGTGAAGCCTGAGCTGTGCAATGGCCCAGGTGGGGTTCCAAAAGAGGAGCATTGTGGATGTTTGTCATTCCCCTCAGATCCCCATCCGTGAAGTAGGTTCCACTGGCCATAGTGGGTAATCAAGTCCATTGAAGCAGAAGTCAGATAATAGCTGCACAGCCTCCTAACCGGGACTGAGAGCCAGGGCAGCGCTTGGAAAGGCCTCTTGGCTTCTGGGAAGCCCTGGACATCAGGTGTATTGCTGCAGCGTGCGTACACAGAGACGCTCCATCTACCTTGAAATAAAGCGGGGCTCTAAATTTGTGTCCCCTTCACCCCGTGGGGCCAGCGAGATGGGCCCACTGCTCTTTCTTCACTCAGAGCCAGGCTGCATGGAGAAGGGAAGGCCCACTGTTTATCGCTTCCTTTGTGTTCCGAGCTGCAAAATGAAGCACCTGCCACTTCAGGACCAGGCTTGCCAGAGGTGACATGTCGCAGAGCTGCCTGGAGTATGAAGTGCGTGGTAAGGCCTTTGGTGAGACCTACTGGCCAAATTAAATGTGACATGAACAACAGCCCAGGAAAAGGCCCGCTTTGATGACCCTCGTCATTACACATTACAATAAGAGAGAAGCAGTTTGTGACATGTGTGCCCTTTGTAGTCCAGAGACTAGAGGCCGTTCCTCCCAGGGAGCACAGGGCTCCTGGCAGCGGGTCAGTGCCTTTCTGTATACGATGCCCAGTTCAGCTGTTTTGTATGTGGAGTCAAGAACTCTGACAGAGGACAGGTCCTGTTGATGGAAAGGCCACCCAATGAGTGCCTGCTATTAATGCAAAGGATTGATCTGTCAGAGCAGATGCTGCTTCCCTCACCAGAGTCAGGGAGTACCATGCCCATGGCCTTGCCAGGATGTCTGGTGCCTGGTGCACACCTCTCTGCGGACAGCACTGACGTGCCATGTGGGCATCAAGATGACAGGGCTCTGTGGTAGAAAGACCCTTAGCTGGATGTTTGAGACCTGGCCTTGCCTCTAGTTAGCCAGGTGGCTATGTGACCTTGATCAGGTCGTGTCCCTTCTCTGGTCCCGTCTCCATATTTGTAAAATGTGCAGGTAGTTGGCAGATCTCCCTCTTGTTTCACTGAGTTAGTGTATTGGGGATCATGGGCTTTGCAGCTGGAAAGTCCTGACAGTTCATACATTCACCAGCTGGTTTGAATCCTGGTTCACTGAGCCTCAGGCTTCTCATCTGTAACCTGGAATCATTATAACATTCATCACATTACTGTGTAACTAAGAAAATGCATTGAAGTACTTAATTCATGGCTGCATGCATTCAGTGTCCAGTAAAATGCCCCGATGAAAATAATAATAAAGGACTGTAACTGTGAAAAATAAAGGTGTGTGTGTGTGTGTGTGTGTGTGTGTGTGTGTGAGTGTGATGTAGGCATAGAAAAACCCTGGTCAAGGACAGTCTTTGGCACAATGTCAGACTAGTTTTGCCACCCAACCTCCTGTTTATGGTCTCAGCCACCCCATACTCCTATTTGCTTTACCCCTTATCTCTACCCAAACCTGGTTCATTTTTGAAGTAGGGACATGGCAGGGGAAGGAGAAGTATTGTAATCAGCTCCTTCACAGATCTAAAGCATTAGTTGCAGCGTGAATTTACAAAAGTATCTGCAGTATAACAACAGCAAGTTTCTTAGCCTAAAAGGAGCCTGAAATAGGTGAGTTTTGAGCCCTGTCAAATACATACCAGTTCTAATGCATGAAGGTCAGCCCACTCCATATGTTGCAGTGCAACTATGAGGTACCCAGAGGACCCCAAACTGTTAAGGGGTACACACACACTTTACAAGGGACGCAGCTTTCCATTACACAAAGGCAAAGGAAACAGACTCGTAGTGTGAGATATTTTAAATGGAATTAGTATACATAGAAAGGGAGAAAAAGAATGGATTACAAGTAACAGCAACCTCCCAAATTTGTCCATCCCCTTATGGGCAAATGCCTAGTCAAACAGGCTTGGCTTCAAGTTGCACTGCTAAGACCCAAAAGTATAATATAAAATGTATAATATGCTGCCTGGCAGGGACCCACAGAAGATACTCAAAATTCAAAATGTATCAACATGAAGTCAAGGTGACAACTATCATGGACCAGGAGCAACCCCCCACATGCCTCTCACCCACATATCTCTCCCCTATATCTTTCCAAGTGTCTCTCCATGTCTCTCCTTCACGTGTCTCCTCCTCTGCATCTCTTCCAGCAGTACCAGGGTGCAAGCCAAACCCAGAAAAGCAAGCACACATATGTTCAGTTCTAAGTCAAGCAAGACAGCTTAACTCTTGCCCTAGTTCCAGCAGGCCCCATTCAGGAAGTCAGGTTCGTGGCATGTTGCGACCTGAAATCTCTTCCACGTGAGATGCTGGTGGAGTTTGTGAAAACATCAGGGGTTGGATTATTGCTCTAATTTTGACTTTGTTTGACTTTGGCAGTCACCAGGTGCTCTGCAACCTGCTAGGTTGTGTTTAGCTACACCGATTTGATGTAGCAGTCACGAGCCCTGGCTGCTCAGTCTCTGGCTCTCTGGTCACCTGAAATTTCAGGAAGTGACACACTCTCTGTGTGTGGCCCAGTCATCAGTTATCTTCACACTGAACAACCCTGGCGTCTAAGCCAATTTACTACTGTGTCAGAGAAGCTGCTGCCATGTTGCATTATCCTGGGAGTATCCTGAGCTTGTTCCAAAAGACCACTTATCTCCCACTCCTGAACCATCCCCAGATCACTATCTGCTAGGGCTTGAATAGATTTCTTTGGCAAATGATAGCCCTGAGGGCTTTGTTGGTCATTAAAACATTAGTAGGCATTAACTATCAGATAAGTAAGTGGGAGAGCAAACAAGACATAGGCAGGGGATGAGAAGAGGTAAATGCTGATAAGCATGGGACTTGGAGAAAAGGCAAGACAGGCAGGCTCACCTAAGTCTCTGGTTGAAAGACTCCCAGAGAGGAGATGGCCAGAAGTGCCTCCTGGAGGCATTGGGTGAGAGGAGAGTCTTTATAAATATTCATGGAGTGCCTGCTGTGGGCCAGGCATAGTACCAGGCAAAATCCCATGGGCAACCCCATCAGTGCTGTCCACATTTCCCCTGGAGGTACATGAGCAGCAGGGTAAGCATGAAGTGGAAGGTTGGCATCTCCCACCCTCTCAGCACAGTTCCTGGAAGCCTACTCCAGTTTGTGCCTCTTCCAATGCCAAATGCAGCTTCTGGCTCTAAGGACACCCACTTTTCACTTAGCATCACCTTCAATGGCAAAGCACAGTTCTCCATTGCAGACCTCATGAGCTGTTCCACCACATGGCGCTCCACCACATTGGTCCTGTTGACCAATTTCAAGGCTGTGTATTAGTGTTAATAGGGCCCCTTCCTGGGGGATTTCCAAGGGTCATTTTAATGGTAGGAGATGTTTATGGTGGCAGACCTTGGTGAGAAGAAGCTCTGATCCATAGAATCCCAAAGTCCAATGATCCCCATGGCATGGAAAGTAGTGCCCTGTCCATTCAACTTGTCAGCATTTCTGACTGGCGGGTCGGTGCTGTGCCGGGGATGATACCCAGCACAAGGCCCCCCACACCAATTAACAATTATACAAGGAAAAAGAGCCTGGTTCTTTTCTCTGACAATGTCAGGGAGCCCTGATCTCCTCCTCCCCATAGGAGCTGAGTCCTGACCCTATGAGGGTTGCAGGAGAGGAGAAACTCTGTTCCAGCATCAGCTGCATTGGCTGCTTGTGGGGCTCTGTGGCTGAGGCATCCAGCCTTCTGCCCACCAGCTAATCCGCTCACCTCAGCTTCCACCTCCACAATGCTGTCAGTGTGATTCTAAGACAAATCTACCTGTGACCCTCCCATAGGTTCAGGTTAAGTCGCATGCCTCAGCTTGGAATCATAGTGGTAGCAGAATTATAGCAGTAATCATAGTAATAAAGTTCTCGTTAACCTGGAGTGAGCCCTGGCCCTGCAGCGAGCAGACCCCTGCTGGTGCTCAGAAGTCTCTCACTACACGCTCCGGGAGCGGGGGTGGCTGGAAGAGCTGGAAAGTCAGAAAAATTAAGTGCTAACGGTCACAAAGCTGGCAAGGCATGGGGCCCGCTGTCCAATTCAAGTTTTTTCAGATTTTAGAACCCATGATCTACACCATTGTACTATTTGCTTGAACAAATTGTTGCAGAAATTGTTGCATACTTTGTCCTGTGTGTACAAAGTGATCTAGTCCTTTCCATGGTGCCGATATCTAGCACTTTTCCCCAGCCACAGCCCTGATCACACTGTAGTGCAGTTGTCTGCTGTCCTCAGCTCAGGGACCATGCTGATTTGCCCCCATGTCACCGGCACCTGAAGGGGCTCTGGCATGTAGTTGGAGTCTAATAAATGGCTGACAGTTGACTGGATGGATAAATGCCTGAATGAATCCATCCATCCAAACCAAACCATGGTTCCTCTGGGGATCTTCCCTGTTTACAAATGCCTCGAGGGTAATCTCATTTTTCTAAATTCTTCAGGCTCTTTTTCCTTGTATAATTGTTAATTGCACCCTGTCTTACCACATGCAACGCTTTGAGCTGTAAGTTGCTAATGCCTCCTCCAAGCAGACCCTAAACAACTCAGGACAAGGATGGCATTTGGCTCTTCTTTTCCTGAGTCGCTTACTCAGTGAGGAACAGACTGCTGATAAGGAGCTGGAGAGTCAGAAACACGAAGTGACTTGCTCACAGCCACAAAGCTAGCAAGTCTCACTACCCAGTGTCAGATTCAGATTTTGCTGACTTCAGAATTCATGTTCTTAGCCATGATGTTATTTGCAGTTTATTCTGACCCAGGAGCAGAAAACAAAAGAGGACACCTACCCCATGAGGAATGACCATCTGTCTTTCTGTCTCCCACAGGGGCCTCCTCAGGCATCATCGACCTCTTGCCGTCCCCCAGCTCTGCCACCAACTGGACTTCAGGACTACTGGGGGACAGCAGCGAGATGATCTTCAGGTTCGACGGCAGGCAGGGGGCCAAGATCCCGGATGGGATTGTGCCCAAGAACTTGACAGACCAGTTCACCATCACCATGTGGATGAAGCACGGCCCCAGTCCAGGCGTGAGAGCTGAGAAGGAAACCATACTGTGCAACTCAGATAAAACTGGTGAGTCCAAAGCCAACCCTCCCCCTGCCCCCCAGGCAGCTGCCCCCACGTCCGAGCCCACAAGCAGGGACAAGTCACCAAGGAGATATGGAGGGGTTGGAGAAGGACCCTGGGGAAACATTCTGCTCTCTGGTTTCCTGCTGATTCTTGGACTTGGAGTCCAGGAAAAGGAACAGAAGCACAAGATCAAAAAAAAAATTGGGACTGGTGTTTTTCAAACTGAGTTCTTCGGATCCTCAGCTCCCACATCCCCCAAAAGTCACTTAGGGATGCTACAGGTGAAGCACAACAGGGAACAGTGGAGGGGGCCAAGCTTGGATCCTATTTCAAGAACAACAGCTCCATCTTCACTATATTATGCGCAGTTAGACTTCCAAAAGTTCTTTTTGAATTAAGGATCATGATAATTTTATAGTAGTTTGAAAGTCACTGTTCCATGTCAGAATGACTGCTAACCTTTGCTTGCATGTTCTGCAGGTTGAATCACTGCAAAGCTGTTCATGGCTTGGTAGTTAAAAGCACTCTACCATTTACATTGACTGGCTGTGTGACTTTGAGCAAGTTGAGCAACCTCTCTGTGTTTCACTTTCCCTGTCATAAAACAGGCACCATAGTAGTAATTACTCGAGGGTTTGTGTGATGATTAAATGAATTAATGAATGTGTGGTGCTTTAGAACAGTACCTGGCACATTGGAAATGCAATCTGTGCAATACTAACAATTACTGTACAAAATACTGTTCAGTAATAGCAATTACTATTCTAAATAGGCTCTCACATCTCTACAAACAATTTTATGAAAACATTATTATGTTTCCCATTTTAAGGATAAGGCAACATTCCTGAAAAGTTAAGTGACTCCTTCCAAATTATAAAGCCAACAAATATCAGAAATGGTATGCAAGCTTGGATCCAGTTCTCTCCACTCCTAAGCGCTTGTCACTATACCTCACAGGCACACATGCCTTCTGATTCTTATGCAAATTTCACAACACTCTTAAATGATAATTCTACAATTTCCCATTTCAAATATTACTTTTGTCAAAATACCCAGAATCAATCATAACCACAGCAGGTAGTTCAGAATAGAAGAATGACTAATAGCTCAGCCTCTGCTTTGAGACAATCAACATTCATCTCAGTTTTTCCACTATTTAAGGTGTGACTGTCACAGAGCTGTTCATCTCTCTAAGCCTCAGTTTCCCTGTATGTAAAATCACTTAGCAGTACCAGATCTAAAATCAGTGCTTGACTAAATTCACGCAATGATGTGATCACTATTTCTTCTGGTTTTATTTCACATTAAAATACTATCAGAAACCATGCTTCATATGTCAATGGTCTTACAATATCTTGATGTAGTTTCTGGGTGTAGAAACGGAAACAGAGTGAGTCGCCCAGCATTTCCAATGATAAGTCTGTGTTAGAGCCAATGGCAGAGAGTGGCTTTTCTGGAATCTTCCTTCTGGAAGGAGCCCAGAGACCTGTGTGAGTTTTGGGACGGGGTTCAAGTCTCATCCGCTGTCCAGGAATCACTCTGAGGCACGCCTTCTGGGGCACACCCATCATCATCTCCAAACCAGTCAATGAGACTCCAAACTGTCAATGAGACAATCGCTGGGTTAGCAACCACACACATCCTTGCCGAAATGTGTCAGCTCTCCCTGGGAAACAGATCAAACAGATATAAATGTTCCAGAGGAAGAAACTGGAATATGAAAGATGGAACTATGGCCCAGAATATCACAGTGCATTACCGAGAAGCAGGTCAGATCCGGGTACTCTGGCCCGGTGTTCCAGCACATTGCAATTGGACCTGCGGTTTTCAATCATGCCACATTGTCCAATAACCTGGCACACTTGTGAAAAGTACATAGATGCCAAGACCCCACCCCAGATCAATAAGTCAAAGCTTCTGAGAGATTCTTTTGGACTGTCATGTCTGAAACTCTGCATTAGTTGAAGATACTTCAGTTTCATCAGAGCTGACCACCCAACAATCATTCCAACACCTTCAGATCAGTGAGATCTGGTGCCATTCAGCTCTGGTCTTAGTTTAAAGTGATACTTTAAAAATGAGCTCAACATTGATCCAAAGAAATAGGGAATATTTTTCTCCAACTTAAAAGTCTAAAAATAACTCCTGACCTAAATTTTTTAAATATGAGAAATAAATTGAAACTTGATTAGGGCTTCTATATATCAGAATTTTGTTCAAGTTATAAAAGCAATACATGTTTATAATGGAAAACACAGAAAAGTATAAAATCCTAACACTTAGAGATATTTTCTGATAACATTTGGTATACTTCATTACCAAGTGAAATCTTATTTTTATTTCACTGTATATGTGGAATATCTATAATTTTCAATCTGCTTTTTATAATACATGTGATACCATTATGTTCTCTTTCCTTTACATCACATTATATAAAGATCATCTCTGTATGTGATAAAATATTCTTTAACAATATGAATTACATGACAGTCTAAAATTCCATCATGCAGTTTTGTTATACTTCATTTGGCTGTCTCCCTTCTGTCAGGCATTTAAATTGTATCATTTTAAAGGAAAGTAAGACAATGCTGTAACAAGCATATCTATATGTACTTTTGGAGCCACTTCTGATTACTCTGTGACCAGAAGTTAAATTAGTGAATCAAAGAATGTAAATGTTAGGATGGTTACTGATGCAAATAACCATTCATGGAGATTATGTTAGTTTCTGCCTTATCCACTAAATAAACGTATTGATGCTGAACCCTCAGGAAGTAATTTATAAATAGTTGAACAATAGAATTGACTACTCAGCAAAGGCTGTTGGCAATTTTGAAAAGGTAAAAAAAAATCACTATCACCATTACCAACAGCCAAAGTCTTTGTCATCATCCATCCACCCAGGGAGCACTGGGCGTCTGGGCGTGAGACAGCTCTGGGCTGGCCAGATATTTAGAGACCCAGGGTCCTCCATTGTTGATGCTGCCTTTTCAATTACAGAACAAGTTTAGAATAGAATAGAAGAGAAGAGGAGAGGAGAGGAGAGGAGAGGAGAGAAATGGAATAGAATTGGAATAGAATGGAATAGAATAGAATAGAAATAGAATAGAATAGAAATAGAATAGAATAGAATAGAATAGAATAGAATAGAATAGAAAGTTTGTTCCCTCCACCAGAGTGTGGCAGTGGTGGTGACTTATTTCTATTCACATTTTTCTATTCACATTTTAGAGGAAACAGGATGCACTAGACACATCTAAGGGGAATGCACAGGCCCCAGCCCTGCAGCCCCACCTTTGCTGGCCTTACCTCTCCATTCCAGGTATAAGTGATGATGCTCTTTCCTGCTTTTTCTCAGTAACTTTGCCCCTACACGCACACACGCACCCATCCCTGTGCCAGGATCCCCTCTTCCTGGCATTCAACCCTTTTGTTATCTCTGAGTGTCAGCTGAGAGCATTGAATGATTACTGGCCATTCATTGCTAGGAGGTGTCTAAGGGGCTTTTCAATAGAGGGGCCTATTTAGCCCAGCAATTTCCAGGTGAGTAAGGTGGCCTGGTCTCCCATGTCTGTAGGGAAAGTGCAGACATGCTCCCACACATCCAAAGATGCTCAGAAAACCACTCAGAGGGACTGAGGTCATCTGTCATTCAGGAAATGGGACTCTCACTCCCAGCTACTTGTTAACCGAGCTGCAAATAGTTAGACCAGCTCCTCAGTGGTGGCAGAGCTGAGCCCAGGAGAGCTCTGCAAAGTCCCCCTCACATCCATGGAAGTGTGGGGTGTGTACAAACTGGGCCCTGACTCTTACCCAGGGGTCTGAAGGCAAGAGGCTGGTGAGGGCAGCTGCATTCCATGAAGAGAAGATGCTGGCCAGAGGAGTCGATATGATGGGCAGGGGGAGAGGAACCACACAAGGCTGACCAGAGGGTGATCAGGATCACTGACATCAGGAGTGAAGAGGTGAGAGTCAACAAAGACAGGCTTGGAGCTGGCACAGAGGCCCCCGGTCATCCAGAAAGGAACCAAGCAGCATCACTATTTAGGTCATTTTCAGTGTACAGATAATAGCAGGTGCATTCTTGTTGAGGATGTGGGAGAAAGAGGAAAGGGTTGGGATAAAAAGCTACCAAGGCCCACTTCAGTGTCCATGGGTACCTTGTGGTCTCTGCAGGACCTCTCCAAAAATAATCAGTGTGCCCAGGAAGGAGCCTGAATGTAGACATTGCTGTGACAGAGGACATTTGATATCCCTGAGAAAATGACAAACTCTACTGGCTCTTTAAAGAGACTTCAAACAGAGTCCCAGATGAGCACTACTGTAGCACCTTCTCATCTGCCATCCTGTCTCTGGCCATCAGTGGAGCCAGGAGAAGTTTGGGAGGGCGGGGGGGGGGGGCAACGAAATGAAAAAAGAAAAAAAAAAACAGATCCTACCGGCCTCCTGTGGCTTTGATCAACAAGCCATGGCCAGGTCCAAGCAGAGAAAAGGAATCTTTTAACTAGCTAAGAGCGTGGTGTATGATTCAAAGTAGACACTTCAAGACTATTTGAATGCCTGAAAGTGCCCAGAAGACTTTAGAAACTCCCAGAAATATGGGCAAAGGGAAATCAGGTACAATAAAGAACACTGAAGGACAAGCAAAATGAAACTGGTTCCTGAGCTCTTTATGCCCAATCTACTGAGAAACCAGTCACCCTGGTGTGTGATAATTACAGGCATGAAGACTGTTGGGGCAATGGGAGAGGAATCTGGAGACCTCCAGCAAGCTCCTGTCTTTCATTCTTGTTTCACCTCCTCATCTACCTCTCCTGACTGTGGTCTGAAACTAAAGGGACAAATTTTTACTTTGCTTTCTGACAATTATCAACAGAAAATATCAGAAATAGTTATGCAATTATGAAGGGAGGTGAAACATTGAATAAAGTCCCCATATCATATTTGGGTATTTTGCCAACTACAAGCTCCAGTGGTCACCCGGAAAGTGACCTAGGCCAACCCTGTCACACTCTGCAACTCATTGGTTACATTCTAAAGAATGGCAATGCTTTCATGAAATCAACATCTGACACTACTTGGTTATGTTATGGTGGTCAGGAGGCAGTGTAATAGTCCTTATAGAAATAATTATATAGTCAATGTGTAACTGACTATCTCTTCTGGCAGATACTTTACATGCATTTCTCATTGTATCCATTAAGGGGCTTACAGTTACAAGATTTGGAAATACAGATCAAACACATATCAGATAATTAAAATAATAATAATAATAGGGGCCTCCGTGGTGGTACAGGGGCTAAAGTCTCGGTGCTATTAACCTATATCGCCAGCCACTAAGACATAAATTCAATCCCAGGCCAGGGAGCTGATCCACATGGCGCAGCAAAACTCTCCTGTCTCACCTGCTGCTCCCCTCTGCAGTGTATTTCAGTAGATCCACCTGTTCTGCTCCTCACTCTGTCTCTGGTGAATCCTCTCACCCCCCCCACACACACACACCTCTGGCCTATACCCCAGTTCTTGTATACATAAGTACATAAAAATAAATCTTTAATAATAATAAAGGAATGTGGAGTTCTTATATATGAATGTATCATACAGAGCTATGCAGCTTCAGACAAAGTGCCATCTGTTGGGAGTGACCAAGTACGGATTTACTGAGGGACTGTAATAAATTAGGCCTTGCATCCAATTAACTGGGTCTTGCATCCCAGATGGGACTAGCTGAAGGTGGTAACGAACTGGGCCTCACATCAAGGACACAGCGATGAGTCAGCCCTTTGAAATCTGAGCTTAGAACCTATATAGGAGACCCTTCCCCCTTACTGAGTTGGCAGTAGCTGTCGACCCCACTCTAGGGGCTCAGTCTCAGCTGCTGTCCGGGAGTAATAAACTCTGCTTGCTCAGCCTTTCTGCCTCCCGCCTTCCTTTCTTGCAGCCAGTCACAGAAATTGGGACAAAACACCATCAAGGTCCTGGCTCCTTTATTCTGCAATTGCTTAGCTCTGTCCCCATAACTGCATCAATTTCATGTAAGCAAATATGACTGTCCCAAGTATCCTAGTTATATACTACAATTTCTTTATATTCTTTAAAAAGTGTCTCTTCTATTTACCCTCTGCTAGAAGAGATAATGCTTTCCCAGAACTACTCAGTAAAGCTACTGAATCATACACCTGAATTGAGTCACTTGCCAATTCCTGAGCGAAGCCCTGTGTCTAAAAGAATGACCTGCCCTGCTGGACTTGAGCCTGGGTCCTGAGCCCATCCCTGTGGCAAAGGGATTTGCATGAGCCCAGTTGCCGAGGCAAGACTAGTCAGTTCCTGCCTAGTGATAGTGTTAGGTCCTCCCTACCACAGCTCATGAGCAAGGTTTGTAAAGGATGTACAGGAATCAATCATAATACCCTCTTCTGATGTGTATAACAGCCTCTTCATATAGATATAAGGTAGGATCCTGTCCTTGTGGTTTAGGATAACCTAAACCACAGTTACTAAAACTGAGGCTCTGGGAGTCAAAACAGCTGCCCCAACACCACCCAGAGATCTAGCTCCACTCAAAGTCTGTGTGAGTTCAGGGCCCACGCTCTTTCCCCTGCCTCTATTCACCTCTTCATTTGCGCAATGTAATAGAGTACATGTCTGTCTGCTGGCAGATTCTGTGTGTACTGCAGTAGTAAATGTGTAGTAAATGTAACAGAGAAATGTTAGTTCTCTGAGTATTGGTCAAAGGGTAGACTCTTTCCTACCAATGGGTATTATCTTGAGATTATGGGACATCATAACTAGGGTCTATGATATGAAATTTCCTATACAGGAAAAGTTTTGTTTTTTTTTTTTTTTTTTCAATCAGAAAAATACTCTCTCCATTATCTGTGTATGGGCAAAGTCACAAAATCATTCCCGATTCTGGGAAATCAACCTTCTTCCCAGCAACTAAAAGTGAAGCAGCTCCCTTAACTCCACATGTTAGATAGACTATAGAGTCAAGACTGATGACTTAAAATTAAAGCCCAACATTTCTACAGCAACAGCTGTGTAAATGAGCCCAGAGTGGTAGGGGTGAATGTCAGAAAGATCTCAACCCTCCCAGAAGCTTGTTACCCCAAACAAAGACCTTGTTAACTTAAATAATGTTTATCCTCCTTCTGATACAGCATCTGAGTATAAATTAGGTTGGTATTCAAAGCCTAAACTTAAAGCAGAAGTTTCGTTGTGGCATTTCTTGATTCATCCTCTGCCGATACAGTGGTCTTCGTGATGTGTATTCTAGAACACTCAACAAAACCAGTTTTGAAAGAGGAAACTGGAATGCTCCATTTCTTTGTCCTTTGAGATGTGATGTAGCTGGCTACTTCTCAGAAGAGATTAACAAAGAGATAGTCTCACGACTCAAATCCTTTCTGCATTTCAGAAATGAACAGGCATCACTACGCTCTGTACGTGCACAACTGCCGCCTCGTCTTCCTTTTGCGGAAGGATTTCGACCAGGCCGACACCTTCCGCCCCGCGGAGTTCCACTGGAAGCTGGACCAGGTACGAGCTTGCCTGGCTTTGTGCCAGCTGAGCTCAGCTTTCACGGGGTGCTGGTCGTGCGCCAGAGATGACAGCAGTGGGTGGGCACCTCAAGGTCTGGGGCACTTACTGATTTTTGGAAAAAACAGTTGGGTAGACTTAGTGCCTTAGAGTCCAGATGAGCATTGCCTCCAGGAAGCCGAGTCTGAAGCGGGGAGAGCCACACGTCTCGCTGGAACTGGTGCAGGGGCAGCTGACCCGCGTGTGTCCTTGTGCTCCTCACAGAGTTCCTAGGAAGCTGATTCTCTGACCCCCGAGCCTAGTTTCTGATCTGTGTTCGCACATATTTCTATCATAACCATTCATGTCTCTTCTTTGATGTCTTCTGTTTCCTTTGGGTGAGGGTGTGACCTTGCTTTTGGTGACACAGATTGACCAGAGACCTGACTTTAAAGTCAACGGTGAAGCGGGCACCGGGAACAGTGCCTATTCTTTTGTCAAGTGGAAGAAAATCTATGACTCACTTCAGAGCCGCATGACTTGTCATCACCAGGGCCACTGTGTCCCACTTGTCAATGACAAATAAAGTGTCATTTGTCGAATCAAAAGCTTCAAAGTGGCCATTTCCCAAGGCTGTGGAGACTGGTGGGGTGGGGGTTCCTTCCCCTAGGGTCAGTGTCTCAGAAGAAGTATCTGTGTAGCAACCTATACAGTCTTCCATTCCTAAAGGAGGATGTAATGTTTTTATAGAAAGGATTTAAAATAATCAAGAGGGGGCTTTTCCTGGTTGTGCAGTGGGTTAAAGCACCACATTAGGAAGCTCTACAAAGCCACTGCAGCACGAGTTCGATCCCTGCCCCAGAGGTGACCCACATGGCATGGCAAACCTCTCCTGACCCACCGGCTGCTCCCCTCAGTAGTGTACCTGTTAATCTGCCTGTTCTGCTTTCCACTCCGTCTCTGATGAATGCTTTCATCCACCACACCTCTGGCCTAACCCCAGTTCTGTAAGTATAAATAAATCTTTAAAAAATAATAATAATTAAAAACAAATAAATAATAATAATAATCAAGAGGGTGCGTGCTGGCAGACAGGAGGGCCTTGCAGAATGGGTGCTGTTTGATGCAGCCTGTCAGAGGATGCTGATTCCCTGGCTTTACCCTCCAGCATCATTTTTTGCTTTCTTTCTGCTCCCACCCCATCCTGAGTGCTTCTGGGGCGCTCACTCTTCTTCCCTCCCTCCTAAGCCCCATTCCCTTCCTCATCTAGAGCTATTTCTTAATCTTTCTTCCTTTCTGCTTTTCCTGCCTCCACCCTATTCTCTCTACCACTGAGTCCCCCAGCTCCCAGCGCCTGATGTCAGAGGCCACCAGGAAGCTCTCCGGGTGGAACTCATTCACATGGAGCTGTGACTGCAGGCTGCCCACCTCACCTGCACAGGCGAGGCACACGCTAAAAAAAAGTCTTTACCTCAGGGACGCTCTTCATGGTGGGACTTCAGACTACAAGTCAAGGGTGTCAAACTTATAGGGAACATGTTTGAAACATCTGCCTAGTCTGTTCCCAATAAATCTCATCCTGCTGGGTCCCAGGCTTGTACAAACGTGGCTTCACAATCAGTATATGTGCCTGTGAATTAGAAATTCTGGGTTGTGCAGAAATTATGAGATGTTGGCATTGATTCATTTCCCAACCGCTCCGCTACCTTCTTAGTGCCATATGGTTTATATGGGATGTTTTTAGAGACATAATATGAATTGAGGTGAATTAAAATAAACTCCATATTGTGAGAGGTTTTAATAAGAACATTGCTATACTGGCCAGGATAATTATAGGTGCCCTGCAGCATTTTCTAAGATGGGATTGAGAAACACTGATCTAGGCAGATGAAGTCACAGGGATTGAAATTAAAAATAGGTAAGGCAGAAATTCTGGTTCTCCAGATAAAGATATCTTGAATCTAGCTATTTTGAAATGTGTCCCTAAAGTGGTGAATTTAAGGAGGTACTGAGAGGCACTAAGCACCTACAAACTACTCTGATCTCATGCCATATGTATGTGGCTTCAGTTCTTGCTAATTTAAATTTTTAAATGTTTTCATTTTTAAATTAAAAAAAATAATTTAGAAACCAGAATTCTCACTGAAATGTAAAACATTTACAGTCTTGAAGAACTCCCTTAAAATTGTTAAATTTTCATTTTCTCAAGATCTGTCTTCTTCTTTGTCTTTGTCAGCTCAGGCTGCAGCCACACACCATAGACTGGGCAACTTAAATAAGACATACTCATTTCTCAGAGCTTTGGGGGCACTGAGGGGCTTGGGCATCCAAGATCAGGTGCCTGCCAATTTCATTTCCTGGTAAGAGCCAGTTCCCAGCTTGTTGACAATCACCTTCTCACCTTCTCGTGCATCCTCACGTGGTGTATCCTCATGTGGAAAATTGGGGTGCTTTTTCCTCTTCTAATGCCCAAGTCCTAGAGGATTAGGGCCCCATCCTTCTGGTCTCATTTAACCTGCATGCCCTTTTACAAAAGGCCCAGACCTCAAAAAAATAGTCACATAGGATGTTAGCAGTGTCAACATCGTTTTGGGAGATACTGGGTCTGAGAGTGGAGTCCTTGGATGAACTCTGGGAACTCTGGGAAAATTTCACCAGTGTTCCCCTTTCAGCAGTGCTGGTGAATTTCTCAGGAGAGTTTCTCCATGACACAGAGACATGAGTTATGTCTAATAGGGCAGGTTTATAGGGACAGGTTTGCTAAAAGAGAGGCTTGCGTGGTTGTAGGGCTGACCACGGCAGCCTTAGGAGAGCAGCCTCTGCTGAGGGAGGCCAGTGAGAGAAGCCCCAGCTGGGTACAGGTCATGGGCAAGCAGGAGGCTGCTGCCCTGTGGAGGGAGAGTTGTCTGCTTGTCTGCATAGTCATAGGGGGCAGAAGGCTGCTGTTCGGTGCCAGTGCAGAAATTGCACTGATTCACTCTTCTTCTTTTTTTTTTTTTGGGGGGGGGGGGGGGGCTCATTTCATTCCTTTTTGAGAATGTTAACTGATGTTAAATGAATTATTTCTAGGGTTGGCACCTAGGGATTCTTTCTCTATTTGCTTTCACTAGGTCAGTGGGGAAGAACTGGTGATTTTTTACAGTAGGCTTCAATCTCTGTATCCCCACCTCTGGTCTATCTCCGGATTCTTGACTTTTCTATATAGCTTCTTTAATGAATGTGTTCATTATTTTTACCCCTATCTCCAGCTTCTGGCCTTGCGATGCCTCCTTTCCAACTTTTCTTATCCCCTATCAAGCATATGAATTGGGTGAGAGAAAAAAGACATACACCATTTCATAGCAATCTCCTACTAAAGAAATTAACACCGAAAAATGTACATGCTGCCTATTAATAATCAGAAGCCTCGGTTGCCCTCCCTCTGAAAGTTGGTAAGTATAAAAAAACACCACATACTTATGCTAACAATTCAGTGGTGTATATAGGCCAGTGTGTATCTTTCTCTCCCCTTATTCTGTTCCCTGCTCAGGCAGAACATTACCAGAAGTAGCTTGTCATACAAATCACTTGATGTCTGCAGTGTGTACAGCCAATAAAGTCTCCTCCTCCAGGAAGACATCCTGAGTCACCCTTGGATGACAGTACCCACCTCTGTACTCTCCAGGCACCATGGAAAAACAAATCTACCCTTTTGTTGTCACTCCCTAGTTTCCTCTCCATCAGGCCTTTCACTTCATCTGAGCCCCTGGAAGGCAGACCTGTGCCTCACACTTCATATTGTTTTGTGCTCAATGCAAATTATAGCCCCCAGGCACCAAAGAAGTGAATGATGAGTAAGGAAGGGGGAAAAGAAAGAAGAAGACAATCCAAAGATCTTTTAAGACTACCTACTGATGAATTATCTTTTGACCCATTTTGTGAATCATCTTAAAATTCTAAAAATGCCATTTTTTTACTCTCTGGATTTCAGACATTGTTCAGCTTTGACCTTGATATCTTATTTCAAAAATCTTACAGCATTTACCACCAATATTTCTGTAACTGTTACAGAGCAGGGAGAGGGGCACCCCAGAACTCCCAAACCTGCCTGCTCTAAATAGTTTCTGCCATCCACCTCATCAAGACAAAACACATAGGCCTTTAATGGAAAGGAACTTTAAGGTAGTGTGTAACACAGAAAAAATAAAGAATATAGTTTCTAAATCAAGCACCCAAAGTTGCCCATCCGCTATGGATAAAAATTCAGCTAAACAGGTTTGGCACAAAGCAAGGCCCAAAAGCCCACCCCAAGTCTAAAGCACCTTCCAGTGGGGACCCATAGAAAAGGGTCAGAAACAGCCAGACAAGTCTGGCAGGAAAAGAGCAAAATCAAAATCAAGATAAAAGCTGCCATCATTAACCTCCCCACAGGTCTCACCCATGACTGTTTCGGCCAGTCCAGGACCAAGAAGCAAGTACAGCTTCTTCACATGTCTCTCTCCTCTGTGTGGCTTCCTCAGGTCGCCTTCTGGCTCTCCATCCTGCTTCCTTCCTTCCCCAGTCTCCTCTCCAGCTTCTTCTCCCTGCTCAGCTCCATCCTCCCCTGGAAACTCCCTTTCTCCTGGGGACCACCCTGTTACACAACTATGACAGAACTTTCTGGCTCTGTCCAGGAAGAACTCAAGCCAGTCATATTGTGTATATTCAAATGCTTGGCCACCCCAGTGATTCCAGAAGCGTAATCAATGTCTTTATGCAGCAGATAATTCTGAGCACCAACTATATGGCCATGTCTGGTGTTAAATACCAGGGATCAGTCATCAGTGGTTCAAATGAGCACCTCTGTCCTCTGGAAGTTTCCCTGAGAACAACACATAGCAGACTGCTTACAAGCCTCTGCAATATGTGTGCGAGCAACAGGTAGAATAGTGGAGGTGTCTGTGGGAGATGTTCCAGGGCCACCTGACCTGGGCCTTGGGTTAAGGACCTGGGAAAACCCCTGGGAGGGGACATCACCAAAGATAATGTGGCCAATTCAGGGA